AATAGTTTTTAGCGTTTTGGTGCGTTTTCCATGGTTTTCTTTTATTTCCAGTATTTACTTTAGGCCCATCTTAAAATAAAGCTTTTTAATGTCGGTGAGATCTATCTGGTAAAATAAAGGTTGAAACAAACATTTGTTGTTCGCACAGCTAGTTTAAAAGCTCAATTAGGAGCTCCTAGTTTAAAATAACTTTAAAACGATACGCTGTGTTATCAACCTTTACTACAAGTCCTATTTACAGCTTTACTATAATTAAAATAAAATGTATTGAAAGTAGTGCCAACCACAGAAACTAAGTGGTGCTGTACTTCCTGTGCTTCCCCTAGTTTACTTGCCTTGGCAGGGTGCGCGTATTTTTTTTTTGACAGGGGGGGCGGGGGAGAAACACGTCTGTGTTGCACACTGTTTGCGTGTGGGGGAGGGGGGAAATGACTCGCCGTGAGGGAAACAAAGCGCTACCTCCATAGCTTTTTAGCTAGCGCATTTGTATTGCGCACTACTAGCTTAGTGCTACGTCAGTGCCGGCAGTGGGGGTGGGGGTTTGGTAGGCAGGGCGCTTGGTTCTGTTGACAGGGTGGGGTGCCCTGGTTGGTAGGGGAAACACTGACTTCACATACCTGCAAACTTGTTGCTTTTCAGGGAAATTTGCCGATTTCAATCAAAAATATTTCATTTACACGAATCGTCTAGATCCAAAATTTTCTTTTTTCGGGGGGGTTAGAGGTGTGGTGTATGGCATAATTTCCCATTGACTGGATTTACGTAGTGCTACTCGAGTCGCGCTAGCTTGTTAACATTAAGCTAGCACACTTGCGTAGTGCTAGCTTAGCGCTACACAAGTGCCAGCAGTAATCAACCAGTGGGGTTAGGATGCATTAAAGAATCAACTCTGTCTGTAGCATCTTAGCTAGTGCATCTGCATTGCACGCTGCTAGCTTAGTGCTACAGTACGTATTTAAGACATGAGTTTTTGCCATTAGCAAAACGCTCTGCTATATTTGTTTTCTCTGGCTGGCTTGCTGCTGTTGTTGCTTCTTTTTATTTTTGTGCCATCTTTCCTTTGTATGTCCTGAATAAATTGGGATATGTTAGCATATGTTGTTGTTTTTTTTCTTTACCTGAAGCCTGTTTACTTTTCCCCTGATTTTCTTCTTGGTGTATACCAGAATACTTAATTTACTTGTTAAAAATCACATAATCTTCCCACCACCAATACAAGCACTAGGTTTGTCACCTTTTTCATCCCTTGTGAGTTTACAGGTCCGACTTCAACGGGAGGGAGTTTGTTGCGGTCCTCTACGATGTGTACGTAGTTGAGGATTTTATTATTATTATTTTTTACTTTCAGCTCCTGGGACAGAAGTGTCGCTGCCATCCAGTGAAGGATTTCTCCTCTCAGCTGTGGGGTGTAAGGAGGAGAGGAAGCAAAGATGCCTAAACCAGTAAGTGGCGGTTTCTCGTGTGTTTCATGGAAGAACAGTTTTTTTTTTACACCTGGATGTGTAAAAATCGGCTGGGTGCATGTGAACTGTCTGGGAAGTGTCAGTTTGAGCTCCACGGCTGCATCCACTCGTCCAAGTTCACGGCAGCCAGAGTGAGGAGGAGGAGGAGTGCCAAGCCCACTGGCCTTCCAAGCTGCAACAGTAGAACCATTGTTGTTCGAAGGGTGGAAAGAATGCCCCAGTTCTAGGATGTGTTCAGCGCCAAAACAAAACTGATTTGTTGCGGCGCTGTCATGGCTGTCCACTTCCTACAGCTGTACGGTTTTTCTAATGGTGGTCAGGCTCAGGCGGGGGTCAGTAAATGCAGCACGATGCGAGACCACCATCAGAGATGTTCGCTACTTGTCCGATCAAGGTGTTGAAGTGGACAGCTTTATCGATGTGCGTAGACAAAAGAAACAAAGTGTGGCTGTAATTTGTTCCATGATTTTTGTGCTACTTCAACAATTCGTGAATCAAAACGTTCGGCTCATTCAGGACATTCCTGCTCTGACTTTTGCTATTTGTGTGATTTTTACTTTTAAAAATATTTACCTTTGTCAGCCATTTTTTTTTTCCTCATTGAAAATGAATGGAGCTCTCTTCAAATCCTTCAGCGGTTTACAACCTTCACTGCTCATTTCAGCTGCTGTTCTGCTTCTTTTGGCTAAGTTCACCTTTTTGTCTACTTTTCATGTTATTTCTGCTCATTTCATTTTTTTTCTGTGCTTTTCCCCAAGCTACTTTCAGCTGATTTTCTGTAAATTTTAGCCATTTTGTGCTCAGTAAAGTTAACAAAAATAAGACATATGCTGAATTAGGTTCAACTAAGCAGAAATGAACACAAAAATTAGTTAAAATTAGCAAAAAACAAAAAAAAACATCTAAATAGTATCGAAAAGGCAGAAGAAAGCTTAACCTACGAGAAGGAAGTGGAAAGAAATTAAACACGCTTAAAAAATGTGGAATTAGCTGAAAAGGCTAGAATTTGCATAAAGGAGCTAAATAGTAGCTAAAATAGCAGAAACTGGCAGAAAAAGCTGAAAGTAGCAGAAAGTATCATGAAAAATCTCATCTTGAATGTGAACAAAACAAAGGAGATGATTGTAGATTTCAGGAGAATCAGGAACAGATCCAACCCTATTTCCGTCATGGGAGAAGAAGTGGAGGTGGTGGAGTATAAATACGTTGGAGTTCACCTGGACAACACACTGGACTGGAAACGCAACAGTGAAGCATCTACAAGGAGGGACAGAGCAGACTGTTCTTCTTGAGGAAGCTGAAGTCCTTCAACATTTGCAGCAAGATGCTGCTTATCTTCTATAAGTCTGTTGTAGAGAGCGCTGTCTCTTCTGCCATCATCTGCTGGAGGAGCAGCACCAGAGCATGTGACTTAAAAAAGAGCAACAAGCTCATAAAGAAGGCTGGCTCAGTTCTGGGGACTCCTCTAGAACCTCTGGAGATGATTGTTCAAAGAAGGATTCTTCATAAAACGAAGAACATTATAGACAACCCTCAGCATCCTCTTCATCAGGCTGTCTTCGGTCAGAGGCTTCATCAGATCCGCTGTAAGAGATCCTTCCTGCCCACAGCCATCAGCATCTAGAACAACTCTTTAATGAAACCAGTAAAATGAGTTGTAACAACTAATGAAACCAATAAGATGAGTTATAACAACTAATGAAACCAATAAGATGAGTTATAACAACTAATGAAACCAGTAAGATGAGTTATAACAACTAATGAAACCAGTAAGATGAGTTATAACAACTAACGAAACCAGTAAGATGAGTTATAACAACTAACGAAACCAGTAAGATGAGTTATAACAACTAACGAAACCAATAAAATGAGTTATAACAACTAATGAAACCAGTAAGATGAGTTATAACAACTAATGAAACCAGTAGGATGAGTTATAACAACTAATGAAACCAGTAAGATGAGTTATAACATTTAATTTCCCTCTGGGATTAATAAATTATTTTTGAATTGAATTGAAAACTTGAATTTATCTGAAAACAGCTGAAATTTGCTAAAATGCTAAAAAAAAAAAAAAAAAAAAGTAGCTGAAATGGTAGAACAAATTAAATTAGCAGAAGAAAGCAGAAAGAACACGTGTTTAACGAATTAGGCTGAAAGAAGCAGAGATG